GAGAAAGTCTGTCACCGTTTCCACTGCTTCCCCATCTATTTGCCATGAAGTGATGGGACCAGATGCCATGCTCTTCATTTTTTGAATGTTGAGTTTTAAGTCAGCTTTTTCACTCTCCTCTTTTCACTTTCATCAAGAGGCTCTTTAGTTCCTCTTTGCTTTTGCCATAAGGGTGGTGTCATCTGCATACCTGAGGTTATTGATATTTCTCCTGGCAATCTTGATTCCAGCTGAGCTTCATTCAGCTTGGCATTTCACATGATGTACTGTGCGTAAAAGTTAAATAAGCAGAGTGACAATATACAGCCTTGATGAACTCCTTTCCCAGTTTGGAACCAGTCCGTTGTTCCATGTCCAGTTCTGACTGTTGCTTCTTGACCTACATACAGGTTTCAGAGGAGGCGGGTGAGATGATCTTATATTTCCAACTCTTGAAGAATTTTCCACAGTTTGTTGTGGTCTACACAGTCAAAGGCTTTAATGTAGTTAATGAAGCAGAAGTATACATTTTTCTGGAATTCTCTAGCTTTTTCTATGGTTCAACGGATGTTGGCAATTTGATCTCCTATTCCTCTGCCTTTTCTAAATCCAGCTTGTACATCTGGAAGTTCTCAGTTCACATACTGCTGAAGCCTAGCTTGAAGGATTTTGAGCATTACTTTGCTAGTATGTGAGATGAGTGCAATTGTGTGGTAGTTTGAACATTCTTTGGCATTGTCCTTCTTTGGGATTGGAATGAAAACTGACCTTTTCCAGTTCTGTGGCCACTGCTGAGTTTTCCAAATTTGCTGGCATGCTGAGTGCAGCATTTTAACAGCATCATCTTTTAGGATTTGAAATAGCTCAGTTGAATTCCATCACCTCCACTAACTTTGTTTATAGTGATGTTTCCTAAGGCCCACTTGACTTTGCACTCTAGGATGTCTGGCTCTAGGTGAGTGATCACACCATCGTTGTTATCTGGGTCATTAAGATCTTTTCTGTATAGCTTTTCTATGTATTCTAGCCACCTCTTCTTAATATCTTCTGCTTCTGTTAGATCCTTACCATGTCTATCCTTTATTGAGCCCATCTTTGCATGAGATTTTCCCTTAGTATCTCCAATTTTCTTGAAGAGATTTCTAGTCTTTCCATTCTATTGTTTTCCTCTATTTCTTTGCATTGATCACTAAGGAAGGCTTTCTCATCTCTCCTTGCTATTCTTTGGAACTCTACATTCAGATGGGTATATCTTTCCTTTTCTCCTTTGCCTTTAGCTTCTCTTCTTTTCTCAGCTATTTGTAAGGCCTCCTCAGACAGCCATTTTGCCTTTTTGCATTTCTTTTTCTTGGGGATGGTTTTGTAGGCTTAGTAGGTATCTGACCTATTTGCCATAAGAGCCATAAACCTTTCAGAACATTGCTAAAGAAATCCCCATGCTGCCAAATATCAGCCTACCATTGTCCAAGCCCTAAAGTATTCTTGGGCCCTCAAGTTTGCATCTAACAGGAAGTGGAAGGCAAAAGTGATACAGCCCCCCAGGGAAGCATCTCCAAGGCCTATCTCAGACGTGTCTATTGAAGACAGGGAGGTGGATGGACAGCCAGGAGGATGGCTGAATCTTCAGGAAGACTTTACCAGAGATGATCAAAGTCTTGTAAGTATGTGGTCAGGGGAGGGGGAGAAGGGAGGAGATCTCTCCACCACCCTGGGTACAGACTCTCTTCCTACTTATTTGGGATGCCTTCCTTCCTGTCTCCATTCTGGAAATGCCACGGGACCGCTATGCTGGGCCTGCTTGAATCCGCTCTGATCTCTGGAATCCAGCCCCCAGCGGACAGCCTTGACCCTTCCTTTTGGCCTGAAGCCTTCTCCAGGGTTGAGAATAGGAAGCAACACTCTCCCTCTAGGAGCTTGGAGCCGGCTCACAAGTCCCTTTAGAAATAAAGGACAAAATAGAGACATTGTTCCTCAGACAATGGGGTTTTCTCGCAGGGCAGGCGGGGCGTTTGTGAGGAAGGCTTCCTTTAAGTCCAGCGGGGGCTGGGAGACACTCTGGTCATTTCTTAGGGTACTGAGCACAGGGTTGACTGCCGGGGGTGGGCGCGGGGGCTGGGACTGCAGAAGAGCTGGAATCTTGGGTTAGCACTGCCTGGGAGACCTGCCTGAGACCAAGACGAGGAGGGCTGAGCCAGGATGAGGCTCAAGGTGGGATGGCGGGGCTGCGGGCAGAACTGGGGAGGGGGAAGTCCGGGACCAGGGCTGAAGCTAGCGCTGGTCCTGGGAAGGGCTCTCGAGACCTGCTATTTGTTTTTGACTGTGCTGGGTCTTCGTTGCTGTGAGTGGGCTTTCTCTAGTTGCGATGAGCGGGGGTTCCTCTCTAGTTGCAGTGCAAGGGCTTTTCATTTCGGTGACTTCTCTTGTCGTGGGGCACAGGCTCTAGGGTGTGCAGGCTTCAGTAGCTGCAGCCCATGGGCTCTTGACCACAGGCTCAGGAGTTGTGGTGCGCAGGTTTAGCTGCTCTGAGGCCCGTGGGATCTTCCTGGCTCAGAGATCACACCTGTGTCCCTTGCATTGGCAGGTGGATTCTTAACCACTGGACCCACCAGGCAAACTCCTGTTTCCGTTTTCTTAGTTCCTTCCCTCTCAGCGCGCCAGGCTCCTCTGTCCTCTCCTGTCTCCCAGTTTGCTCAAATTCATGTCCATTGAGTCGGTGATGCTATCTAACCATCTCATTCTCTGCTGTCCCCTTCTCCTTTTGCCTTCAATCTTTCCCAGCATCAGGGTCTTTTCCAATGAGTCGGCTATTTGCATTAGGTGGCCAAAGTATTGGAGCTTCAGTTTCAGCGTCGGGTCTTCCAATGAATATTCAGGGTTGATTTCCTTTAGGATCAACTGGTGCGATCTCCTTGCTGTCCAAGAGGCTCTCAAGAGTCTTCTCCAGCACCACAGATTCGAAAGCATCAATTCTTAGGCGCTCAGCCAGTGGTACCTGGGGAAAAATCACCCAGACACAGGGGGCCCAATGCTGGCCATGTAGTGCAACTAGAAGTGTCCATCCCCAAAAGTTTTGGGGAGACCAGAAGTCAAGGGAAGGCATGGGGACCCATAATTGGTGAAACGGGGTCCATTCGAGTCGCCGTTGCCTCAGCCCCCAGCCTCTGTTCAGGCTGGGACGGGCAGACTTCTCATTCCTGGGAATATGCCCCTGGCTCACTGGCAATGACATGGTCTCAAGCCTCTTTGTATCCCTAACCCCCTCCCTGGAGTTTGTGAGCAATTACAGAACCCCTCCAAGGTCTGAGACTCCGTTCTGGATGCCTTCACTCACAATTTCTAATGCAAAAGTGTTGTTTCCCGAACTTGATTCATTTATCACCTCCATGATTTTTGCCATAATAATCTAACTCATTGAATACATAAATATAATATTTAATCAATGCTTTGATTCACTTTCTAAAAACAAGCTTATGTCAGGAAGGACATTCCATACCACTCATAAATAAAGAAGCAATATCAGTTGCTAAAAATACAAGAAAAAAGAAAAATAAATACAAAGACACTCTTTGTTTTTGGTGCTAGTTCCCAGTTCTGGGTCCAGTCATACTGACAAGCTGTCCTCATACTGTGTCTGGGCCTCTGTTTTCTCACCTCTAAAATGGAGTTGTTGGGAGATAATGTATGCAAGATGCCTGGCCCAAGGTCAGCATGTCCTAGGTAAGACAGAATTCTGGGCCAGGACTTTCCTGGTGCCTCACATGGTAAAGAATCCGCCTGCCAATGCAAGAGACATGGGTTCGATTCCTGGATCAGGAAGATCCCCTGGAGAAGAAAGGGCAATTCACTCCAGTATTCCTGCCTGGAAAATCCCATGGACAGAGGAGCTTGGTGTGCTGCAGACCATGGGGTCTCAGTGACTCCGGCACGACTTAGCCACTAAACAACAACTGGTCCTGCTGGTGCTGCCAGCTTCTCTGCTCAGGCCTCAGTCTCCTCCAGAACTGCCCTGCCTCCCTTTATCCTTTAGAACTTTTAGAGCTTTTAGAGTTTCCTGTGCACTTTCAACCACTGTCTCACATTAGTCTGCCTCTCAGCATAGGACAGTGGAGACAGTGGAGGACAGAGGAGCCTGGTGTCCTGCAGCCCATGGGGTCCCAAAGAGTTGGACACTACTTAGCAACTGAACAGCAACAACAACGGCCTGTGATAAGGGCAGCTGACCTCTGCGGGTTAAGGGGCCCGCAGGCCACAGGGCTCAAGTGATTTGTTACCAGGCTGGAGTCTTGAACCTGGGCTGTCTGATTCCACCAGGTGGAAAGTGTGGGCTTCCTCCTCTGGTTACTGGGTAGACAGGTCGTCACCTCTGGATGGGATGCGGTCAGCAGGAACCCTGGCTGGCTCTAAGGAGAAAGAGGGAACAGTCCCACTCCAGGAGAGGAGGCTCCCCTCCTTAAGCCACCCCCTCCGAGGTATCCCTCGGTTTCCTCAGCCCGAGCAGAGGAGAGAACCCAAGACCAGCGGAGAAGGGGCCGGGCCAGTGGTCTGGTTGGAGGGGGAAGCTGGAGGGGACAGGGAGGAGAGTCAGACACACGGGTGGACAGCGGCGGAGACACACGTGCACAGAGATGGGGCGAGACAGAGGTCCCAAAAGAGACAGGTGGGCTGTCAGACAGAGAGGCAGACAAGTCAGAGGGCGCGAGAAACAGCCACAAAGAGACATAGCAGGAAGCTGGAGCCAAGGATAAGGTCAACCCCAAAGAGACGGAATCAGAGCCGGCGCTCGCGGAGAGAAAGGACAGAGCGTGGCCTCGCTGGGAAGAGCCCGCCCCAACCCCGCGCAAGGGCGGGAGCCGAGCCAGGGCTCAGGAAGACGGAGGGCGCCCGGCTCCCCGGCAGGCGGCGCGCTGGCCGCGTGGCCGGACCCGCCAGCAGGGCCCGGGCCGGGGGCGGGCCGGGGGCGGGGGCGGGGGCCGGGTAGGGCTGCCCAGGCCGCGCGCGTGCCCCGCGATCGCCTTTATAAGCCCGCGGGGGACTTGGCTGGGGCAGCGTCGCGCTCCCGCCCCTCCGCGTCCGAGCTCCCAGCGCATCGACCCCGCGTCCCTTGCGCCGGGACAGACCTTCACCCACGAACTCCGCGCAGGTAAAGACTCGACGCTGGTTCCTGGCTCTCCGGGACCCCCGGGATGTGGAGCATCCCAGGCCCCCTTTCCGCATCCTCTCCTCGCCGGGCGAGGGCGGCGAGGCTGGATATCAGGGGCCGGGCCGGGACCTCCGCGCCCCCCCACACCGCTCAAGGCAGCCCATTCGGAACCTCCAGCCACCTGTCCCGCTCCCGCGCTCGCGCGCATCTGCGGCTTCCTGCGGGCGCGCTGGGCCGGCCCAGAAAGTGGACGTGGCCCCAGCGGAGCCGGCGAGGCGGGCTGACTGCCCTCGAGTCGGCCGCTGCAGCCCTGGGGTCTCCCGGCGGCTGCCTGAGACCCCCGTCTTCGGTCTCGGCACCGCCTCCGGGTGCCCGGTGGCTGGGCGGCTTCTACGGCGCCCCCTTGGTCCGCGATCAAGAGACTCGGGTTGCCTACCCCAGAACTGCCAGCCATCTAGCAGCCTCTAGATCTTGGCACAACCGCCAGGGGAGGGGGCTGGTCTGTTTGGGTGGGCTCCAAAAGTAGTTTGGGCCGGAGCTGGGAACTGTAGAGAGAGGGAGGCACTTCGGTCCGGGAGCCGCAGGACGGGGAGCGGGGCGGACATCCGGCGTGCTGGAGTCTGTTTGGAAGTCGTGGGGGGGGGGGGGGGCGGGGGGGCGGGGCACAGCGGCCTTGGGGCCGAGCTCTGGAGCCCCCCGAAGCTGGGGAAGTTTGCTGCGATCCATCTCTGGGCGTAGGCAGGTGAGCGGATGGCCCGGGGTGGGTTCCGGCGCCTGGTCTTGTTAAGAAAGGGTTAAAAGCCTGGTCACAATGGGGGGGCGGGTAGCTGAGCCGAGCTCCAGCCTTCCCCCGCATTGTCTCTTTCAGACCCTTTTTCAATGCAAAATGGGGCTGGGGGAGGGGTCTTTACAGCGGCCAGTGGGTGGAGGAGATCTCTGGAGGGTGCAGTTCTCTGGCCAGAAAGGGCCTCTGGGCTCTGGGGGAAAAAAAAAGACTTCCAGGTGGGCCCGAGTTCCCTGGTAGGCATGGGGTGGGCTTCCACACCAGCAAAGTTGACGTTTGTTGAACACCTACGCGTGCCAGGCTCCAACGCTTGACATGCGTCATCTCCTTTACAAACAGGGAAACAGAGGCCTGAAGAAGTTAAGCAAGTCTGAGGCCTGGATTTGAAGCCAAACTCTAAACCCTACAACCTCATCCCCCTGCTAAGATGAGGGGCTGATCTTGGCTCCTCCTTCTGGGTCTTCTGGTGTTCAGTCTTGCCTCCCCCCACCCCCTAGACCTGTCCTCTTCAAATCTTCCGACCTCCCCAGAGTGTCCTCCCCACCCTACCCTCTCCACTCCCTGCCCCTGCCTTTCTCCTTGTCTCTTCCTGAACTTCATACATCCGAACTCCATAAGCAGAAAAGGTTCTTGGACACGGCTTCCCGACTTCCCAGCCCCTGGAGTCAGATATAGGCTTCAGGGATGGCCCCTGTCTGTATCCGTGACCCCACCTGAAGGTAAGGGAGTGTACCTCTCTCATAAGACTGCTGTGAGCAATAAAACTGAACTGAGGGCAGAAACAAAACGCCGCCTCCATTCAAAAAGCATTTTAATACCCCAAGCCCTGTCCTAGGTGCTGGGAATGCAGCGATAAATTACACAGACATCTGCACACTTGTATAACAAAACTTTTTCAGGCTCTGAAACTGACACTTTAGAAAAAGAATCAAGCAATTCACAAGGAAGGAGATTAACAGGCAGTAACATGGGTAAAATGGATCAGCCAACCTTTGGTTTTCACTAACAGAAAAAGGCAACCTAGCTGTGTGACCTGGGACAAATTCTGTTGCTTGTCATGCCCCAGTCTCCTCCTTTTAGCTGAGATTAGTAAATAGTATGATTAACCTATGCAAAGTGTTGAGCTGGTGCCTGTGCTTAAGAAAATTTTGGCTCTCATCAGCTCTAATCTCAGCGGAAGATGCAAACTTGAGATGGGGTGTAGGGTTTTTGTCTCGGCCCCGAACCCTGGAAACCTGTCACCCACTGCCTAGGCCCTGCCCATTCCCCGATGGGTTGTGTTGTTGAGTGGCACGGTGTCCTCCTTGCTCATAGTCAAGTGCCGCCTCCCATCATCCTAGACTCAGTCTTGGCCCGGAGCCTGGAGCTCGGTGCTGGGAACAGGCTTGGGACTGTTAACCTCCACAGTCCCTTCTGCCTGGATGTGTCCCAGCTTTGAAATGAGGTGAAATCAAACTCAAGCCCTACCGGTCCTTACATACCCGACTGCCCTGCAAACCGGATGCAGTCCTACAGATGAAGAAACTGGTCCTGGAGAAGGGAGGTGATTTGTTCAACAACAAGAGATGCTACCTGGGGAGCTGGGGCTGGAGCCCTGGTGACCAGCTCCAGTGATCTTGGTATTGTACACACCTTTGGGGCTGAGGCCTCCGAATCCAGGGGGAGGATCCAGTGGCATAGCTCAGAGTGCTCACTTTGAATAGGTCCAGCTGGAGTTATTAATACAAAGCAGAGCTTGAAGAGAACATTACGGGGAGAGTGAGCAAGCTGGGCTGAGGACCAGCACTCAGAATCTCCGCGTGGCCACAGGAATGCAAACTCAGCTTTCCAGTGCTACGTCGTGGTCCTTGTCCTCTGCAGGCTGGAGCTAGGCTGTGCAGTGTCTATTTTAGGTGGTTTTTTTTTTTAGAGATGTCCTTCCTTTTTTGAGGGCTTCCCAGGTGGCGCTAGTGGTAAAGAACCCGTCTGCCAATGCAGGAGACGTCAGAAACGTGGGCTCCATCCCTGGGCCAAGAAGATCCCCTGGAGGAGGGCATGGCAACCCACTCCAGTATTCTTGCCTGGAGGATCCCATGGACAGAGGAGCCTGGCAGACTACAGTCCACAGGATTGCTTTTAGAGGGCAGCTGTGGGCAGTAAACTGGAGGTTCATTTCCAGCACTGCCGTATGACTCTAGACAAGTTTAGAGCCTCAGGTGAGGAAATCATCCGTCATATGGGTTAATAATATATAGTTCGCAGAGTTGTGAAGGGTTGGCAAGATTACAATGGTTTTTCACCATTGAATGGCTCAGCTGAAAATGACCACTGTTGGGGATTGTTGTTGAGAAGTTAATATTCTCTGTGAGACATTTTTGGCCACTACCGGGTGATCCATGAGGGCCAGAGGGAAGGCCCTATGTAGGTTACAAAGGCCTCGACAGGAGGTAAAAGAATGGCTTTAGGATCAGCGCCTGTGTGACCTGCAGCAACTCGCTTGGCCTCTCTAAGTACTGGGTTCCTAGTAGGCATTCGGCAACTCTTCTCTGATGCTCAGTGTCCAAAGAACATTCAGGAATAGCCTTCCTATTTTTCCACCCCCTCATGCCATCCCCCAACATTTCCCAATTGCTCCCAGAAAAACATCATGCTTAAAGTTTTCCATGCTGAAATTCTCAACCTCACTGTGGCATGAAATCAATTGTTTGCATTTAATTTGACTTCTCAAATTAAGGGGTAAAATTTGAGATGAGGGTAGGGGGTGCAGGAGCGGGGGAGGAGTTGAGGAAAATGAAGTTAAACCAGATGTGTTTTTGTTTAACTGTCGGATGGTGGTTAAACTGCCTGGGTATTTACATCGTTCCTTCTGAATTCCAGTAACTAAGAGTCAAGTTTCACTAAAAATTGTAGTGTTCCTTCCTGGCTACCGTGGAGTTGTCGTCCCCATTATTATTATTATTACTATTTTATGTTCATCTGAGGCCACAAAGTACTGGGTGCAGAAGAGACCTCATAGATGCCTAGAATTTCACAGTTGGAAGGCATTTAAAGACTGCTTCTGTCAACTGGCTACTTCGCAGACCAGGGAGACTAACACTCAGAGAGAGTAAAGACTTACCCAGGGTCTCCCATGACCTTTCTGAAAAGTATCCACTGTCTTGATTTTGGTGTGTATCATTTCCATGGCATATCTTCAATATACATCTATTTTTTTAAAGAAAGAATTACTGGTAAAATGAGGGGCAGGGCGACAGTTTAGAGGAAAGCAACGAACATGATTGATGGGTAGATAGTAGGTGATACAGAAAAGATACTAAAAAATTTTAAAATATTACCACTAAAAATGTCTCTGGTCTAGGGGACAAAAAATAAGGGGATCTTAGAGTCTTCAAGTATATAAAATTTTTAAACAAATTTTGTTAATACGGTTTTACATTTTAATAATGTATTAACCGTGGAATTTCAACATAAAGAATTTTCAAAAAATATGACAGATATTTGGAATATAAAATAATTGAAATATTAAAAAAAAAAAGAATTGTTGAGGAAGGATACAGATGGTGTGAGCTGGTGGGAAAAGTCTGCAACTCAGGACAGAGGTTAAGCCCTTGAACTGGTACCCTCCTTGTGTGACCTTGGGCAAGTCACTTCCCCTCTCTGAGCCTCAGTGTCTGTATCTGTATCCAAGGATGCCTGAAGGGATTTGGGACACCCCTAAGACTTGGCGTGGGTCTGATTTAGTTTGAGTTGGTCCTCAAACATCTGTGGCTGAAGTTATGGTAGGTCAGTCGCAAACTGCCCTCCTGAGGCAGCAGGGGGTGGGGGCAGGGGAATTGTTGACTCCTGTAGTGATTTAAAACTTGCATTTAGTTGTTGGTGTTGTGAAAACAGGCAATTTCGTTTTACATAAAAATAAGGGTTCTGGTTTCTCTGGGAAGATCAAAAGATGTGGCCACGCTGGGCTGCATCCCGGCCTGGCCGCCGTGGCTGGAGCCCGTCAGCAGCCGGTCCATCCTCTTGACCACAGTCCCCTCTGCGCCTTGCTCTCACACCCAGCCCGTTCATCTCATTGCCGTTCCCGCCTGCCTTCTGAGTCTGCAGTTTCTGAGCTAGGTGCATGTGGCTCGGGCTGGCCGTCACGAGGCTCGGGGGCGGAATGTGGGGCATAACGGACCCCAGCCCCTCTTCCGGGGCCTGGCAGCATCTCTGGAACATGTCAGCCAGGACGAGGATGCTCTCTTCTTGCTTTGCTGGTCCCGGGAAGGGGCTAAGGGCTCAGGAGTTTGGGGGCTGACCAAGCATCAGCCTGTGAGTCCTTAGGGAGCTGGGCTTGGGGTCCACCCCCTTGGGGACAGGCAACCCTGGGTGCTTCAGACTAGAGATTGCGCAGCCCCTTCAGGGAAGGGACTCCCTTGACATCTACCACCTTACCTAGTCTCCCGACAGGCCTGTGCACTAGTGATGCTTCACAGACAGGAAGCACCATCCTGCACTCTGAACCCACAGCGGTCTGTTTTTTCCCCTTTTCTGGGGGCCTAAAGTGAAGGGAAGTTGCTCAGTTGTGTCTGACTCCTTGCGACCCCATGGACTATAGCCTCCCAGCCTCCTCTGTCCATGGGATTTTCTAGGCAAGAATACTGCAGTGGGTTGCCATTTCCTTCTCCAGGGGTCTAGGCCCGTGGGGAATAGGCAGCATAACAGCTGC